AAAAGTGCCCCACCCCTATGTCGCGACATGAAGTCCGCATATCGCGATATGACATACCCCGGCAAAAGTGCCCCACCCCTATGTCGCGACATGAAAGGCTTTATATCGCGATATGACATGCCCAGCCAAAACTCCCACCTACCATGTCGCGACATGAAGCCAGTATATCGCGATATGACATACCCGGCAAAAGTGCCCCGCCCCCATGTCGCGACATGGAGCCCGCATATTGCGATATGACATACCCGACAAAATGCTCTGCCCATATGTCGCCACATGGAATCCAAATGTTGCATAGGACATACCCTGGACAGGATATGCTGACCCCATATTGCGACACAGAGTCCATCGTGGCACGTCCTATCTGGGTATATCATGTCCTGATATGAGACCTTTGTTGCGACAGCGGTGCCAGGGTGGCATGGAAGCAAGGCGCCAGTCGTGAAATACACTGCCGCGATACACATGGGGTCCCTATCATGACATGCTGCGGAGCTCTTGTCACGATGGTATCCCACAGTTACGCGTTTGGCAACAGCGTGTCACGGTAGGGAAAGAAAGAAAAACGTGCCTTAGAAAATAAAAACCATGGAACTTACAATCGCGGTGATTTTACATACATTACAACCACAGGTTTATGTCATAGATGGTTAACTTGTTGGCATGCGTCATGTCCTAGTATTATTCACATCTAAGGAGGCTCATGTTTATGGATATTGATTGCCTTTAAAATGGGGTACGAGCTAAACTGTAACAGAACGCTTGAACTCGGTAGATGGGGTCACTGGAGGTCAAAGTCACCGAGCATCGTCAAGTGATCACCGGAAAAACAAGGCGCTATATCTCGGTAACGAAAGCAGCAAACGTAGCGCTAACGAATGAGACCGGTTTGGTTTCCCTACGACATTGTAGGGGAGGTGAGTTACGTCACGACCCCGAAAAAAACAAGGCGCTATATCTCGGAAATGAAAGCAGCACAACACTACTTTCAACGGCACAAACCGGCGAAAACGTAGCACTTACGAATAAGTTGGGTTTCATCGTTTGTGCTGTCTGTAGGGGGGCCAACTTCACGGAGCTGCCTTATCGATGCCTCTTCTGAGTCAACCTAAACGATACATCACGTAAACTGACAACTGAAGTATCCAATTGTATCTCCGCACAGTTTACAGCGTCCAATCAGTTTTGTGTAGAGGTTGTCCTGTGCAAGGTAGGTGGGCTTAACAGCCTGAGATAAATTGGTCCGGTCTCATACCTCAGGCTTGGTACAGCGGAGGTAGTAGCTGCTGTGGTAAGAGCCAGTCATTAAGTTGAATGCTCCGTGATTTGGGTTTATTCCTGTGCAGAGCACAGCGCACTGCTTAACTTGTACGAGGCTTCGTTCATCTCCTAACAAACAGCCACCTATGGAAGAGATGGAAGAAGAATTAAAATGCCCTGTTTGCGGATCGTTTTACCGGGAGCCCATCATATTGCCGTGCTCCCACAATATCTGCCTGGCGTGCGCTCGGAATATTTTAGTGCAGACCCCAGACGCCGAATCACCGCAGAGTACTCGGGCTTCTGGCTCGGGGGTTTCCGACTATGACTACCTAGATTTGGATAAAATGAGTTTGTACAGTGAGGCGGACAGCGGCTATGGCTCGTACGGAGGCTTCGCTAGTGCCCCGACCACCCCTTGCCAGAAATCCCCGAACGGGGTGCGGGTTTTCCCCCCTGCCGTCCCTCCTCCTCCTCCCCAGCACCACCTGCTACAGCACCCCGGCTCTCTGCCTCCCATCCCTCGCAACTCCTGCATCACCTGCCCGCAGTGCCATCGAAGCCTAATCCTGGACGACCGGGGGCTCCGCGGTTTCCCCAAGAACAGGGTGCTGGAAGGGGTGGTCGACAGGTACCAGCAGAGCAAAGCGGCCGCACTGAAGTGTCAGCTTTGCGAAAAGAGCCCCAAAGAAGCTACTGTGATGTGTGAGCAGTGCGACGTCTTCTACTGCGACCCTTGCCGTCTGAGATGCCACCCTCCCCGGGGCCCGCTCGCCAAGCATCGCCTCGTACCCCCGGCTCAGGGGAGGGTTAGCCGCAGACAGAGCCCCCGAAAAATTTCCACCTGTACCGAGCACGAATTGGAGAACCACAGCATGTACTGCGTCCAGTGCAAGATGCCTGTGTGCTACCAGTGTCTGGAAGAGGGCAAGCACTCCACGCATGAAGTCAAAGCGTTGGGGGCCATGTGGAAACTTCACAAGGTAACAGTTTGGGTTACTTGCGTCTTGTTTTCTTCTTTCCACGAGTGGATTGATTGTGCTTAACGTTGTATCACAGTTTCCTTAAAAATATCTTTAAAGTCTGTTTTTATTCATTCCGTTGCAGGTCGCCTAGGTTATGTAGATTACTGCCGTCATTTAGATACGTTTACTGTTGGTGAGATAGTTTTTGTGCTATTTGTTTTCAAGACGATATTATTAATACGGGTAAAAAAAGATTCAGACAAAGTATAAAGCACACATAATTCGCACGGTCCTAGCATTGTATAAGCTTTCGTTTATGTCTGGGTGCTCGAATGTAATAGACATTTCATTCACATGATAATTTCGTCAATATAAATGTTACTGTTTCCTTAAAACATGTTACAAAAGAGCCATTACTTGTGCGTAATAAGTTGTCACAGTAACGGTGTGGAACAAGGACTGCATATTTGGGGTGCTGTTAGCTCGAGTTATGATTCAGTTTGCTGGGAGAGAAGTCTATGCTTTCGTCTCTGCACTGCAGACCTGCGTTAAGAACTACTGATTAAAAAATACCCTGTACCATAAGAAATGAGTTAAAGTATTTTTTATTGTTGCGTTCAATTTATTGACTATACGTTTTACCAGAAAATGACGTAGTTGCTCGGAGAGACACCCGACTTTACCATTTTCATTCATTGATTCATTCATTGTGGTATCGTCAAAAGCTGCAGGCTGGGTGTGTGTTTTGAATTAGTAATGAGTTTAATTTTTTTAGCCTATTGAAACGCTAACTTTCCACGTTTCCACTGGTGCCAGTTTAACAAACTTTGAGAAAGCAGCAGATCCCAGATTTGGCAGCTTCAAGTTCTTTTGAAAGAATCATGACAATTGTAGTAAGGCTTAGAACACTTGACAAAACCTTTGCCAAGGGAACAAACAGTACATGTAACACCACAAGCCCAACTCAAGTATTACAGCAGACTGCAGTTACTCTTACTGAAGGGTATTTTTGTTGCCCCTTTTAAAGTTTATTTTGTTTGTGAACCAAAAATACTTAAAATATTCCCTGCGTCTTCTTTCACACAGATAACCAGGAAATTAATATTATCTCAATGAATACCATTCCAAAAGGTACACATTAACAGTAGTTTTGCAAAAGTATGTATCTACAAAAGTGCACTTGTTGTTTTTAAGAAAATCTGAGTAACTTTAGCCAGTTCACCTTTTACTTACCAATGTTTAAATACCAGTACATTTCCTACTGTGTTGTGGACTTATTTATCCTAAGATTTCATTGTCAGCTGTATTGTTTTCTTATCAGCATGATGGTCTCTAGTCTTCATTGTTATCATCTGTCATTGTATGGCAAAGTCTGTACTTCTAACCCTGTGTGTGGCTTCAGTCTATAGTTGTTTCATCTCTGCTTTTAACCATTTTCCCAAAAAAGTATGAAACTCTTAAAAATCCATTTCTGATATAATCTCTTTTTGCCTGTATCTGCAATAAAGGCTTGATAATTGATTTAGATAGACCTATGTATTTACGCTAAATTACAATGAAAATTATTTTCTTATTTTCCTTAATTCTACATAATTTTAAAAAATAGAAACAGAATGACTGCCCTCTTTAACATCTGGCAAAGCTCTACCCATATATTTTTAGTAATAATTATAACACTATTATTTTTTAAATTCTATCAGAATTATGGTACTAAAATATATAACTAAATAATGCACATGCAGTAAAGTTTAGCAAAATTGTCTTGCAAAAATGATCCAATTCTGTGTTGTTTGTAAGGCAGTTCTTTATTGTCATAGCATGTCCTTTTAATTGTTTTGGGGCAGGTATACTGTATATTTCAAGGACCAAATTACAAAAACAGTGGTTGCTGTCTGTATAATTGAGCCTCTCCCTCCCACCTCCTATGTTGTGGTAAGAGCCAGTCATTAAGTGAATGCTCAGTGATTTGGGTTTTTTCCTGTGCAGAGCACAGCGCACTGCTTAGCTTGTACAAGGCTTTGTTCATCCCCAAAAACCAAACTAAAAGAAAATATTAAGATAAAAGAACCTGTAAAAGAAAAGAATTAAAATATGTAACTTTCAGAGATTTACAGTGAGATGCTCCTACTGGGAAGTGAGGGTAGCTCTTAGAAACATTTATATCTCTGAAATCTATAGTGAATTCTCAATTCTAATGAGACTTGAGAAGAGCACTGATGTACTCTCTGACTTTGAAGACTAAATATTTGCCCAAATGATAGCCAAACAAAAAAGTATTACAGTTAGCAACATGCTGGCTTGTTGAAGGTGTGGTTTAGAGAGGGTAGCTATCTACAGCAGATGTGCTGTGAGTCCAGTGGCATGTGTATGTGTGCCAGTGTTTGAGCATCAGCGTGAGAACTGATGGGACCCTTGTGAACTTTCCCTTGAGCAAACACCGTCGCTAAGGAAAGAGCAGAAGGATTGGGACCCATTGTCTGCCTGAAAAAGCCACAGCGGCAGAACAATCTGCCCTTAGAGATCAACACAGCTGTGCCGGTCATCCTCCGCAGGCCAAATTCAAACAGACATAAAGAAGAAGAATTTGGGAAGACCATGCAATGCAAATAGGATTTCCTGAGCGCTTTTTCTGTCAGGAATGAACCAAATTCCTACCCTGAATAAAGGTCTTAATATTACTAGTCTTAATACAATGAAGTTTTGATCCAACCCGTACAGTGAAATAACCTCAATATTTATGTAACACTTTCAACGTCACCTCTTGTAGGTACTATAGGGTGGCACAAGAGCCCTATGACTGATCTACAGTGAAAGGCAATTTTATCTCATTCAGCTGCACCAATCAACATTTTGAGAGCACTCTCCTCTCACCTGCTCTTTTAGCAGATTGCAGGCAATAGATGCACACTTCTGAACTGTTATGAGTACAGCTGATCTCATCATAACTTAGGAGTCTTTGTATTCATGATAACAATGTATGGCAGGACAAGATAGCAGAGATTAACATATATCTACATTAGTCTCTCTGAAGGTCAGCAGATTTTATTACAGCACCAACTGAGGTATCTCTTTACAATTATTTCCATTTAGAACCTATTTAGTTTTTAGGATTTCAAATGCATGCAGCTGAAACAAAAAAAAAACAGATTCATTGAGACATACACCATATTCTTCAAAGAAAGTATTCCAGAAATACTTGAATTCAACACATTGTCTTCCAAGCCTACATGACAATGGATGTCTGATTAAATGGCAAATCTATATACAGATATCTTCTATAATCCTTGTTACATAACCTGAGACCAGAAATGTAAAAAATATTTTAAAAAATACAAAAAATGAGACCAGAGAAAAACAATCATATACATGAACTGCCTTTAAAGGCTTGCCCCCACTTTGCCAGAATAAACCATCTTTACACACAGAAGAGTACAAGAGGATCCGATACTGGTGAGGCCAACCCAGTGGACTTATTCAGTAAAAAAGCTTAAATCAAATGAGAACGTGGGGTAGGGTGTTTTAAAGGGCACTCTTTCACACTGAAGGCTATAAGAGTCTGGAACAAGCTGCCCAGCCATGTTGTTGAAGATGATGCCACACAGTATCTTTCTTTTCAAAAATGTCTGGAAGACGTACTAAAAACCAAATGAGCTGGACTTGGCCAAATGGTCTTTTCTGGTTTATAATGTTTCTTATGTTCTTGCCATGGTCTTATCACATTGTATCAAAATATTGTTTTAATCAGAATAACACGGTAATAGTGTGTGTCATTATTTAGTATAGTAAGTTAATCTTTTATCATTAGCATCAATAAATAATTTATATCAGGGTGTCTGGAGTGAGTCACAGGTGGTTCTCCACTGCGTTTCCATGGCGCCTGTTCCTCATATACATTATCCTGATCTGCTTTGACCTTTGATTCAGAACTGGTATCTGAAAGCTCAGCAGATGGCTGCACTGAGGTGAAGCACACAGGCAGTCAGCTCTCAAACTCATGTGACATTCTTGAAGATGTGTGCTGCCTGGAAACAGACTCAGCCCATTGTAATCCACACACAGGCACTCACCTCCACATACTGAGAGCCCCTGGCCTTCAGAGGCCCCCAGCTCATTGTTCCAGAGCCCTCAGCTGTAGACAAATGAACAATACTTCACTCACTGCCACACAGTCCTGCAGATGCTGACACCTCTGGCTACTATTTGACATTTTTAGACCGTTATTTTGCAAAAAAAATATACGAATCCCCAAAGATGTGTAATTGAATGATTATAATAGTGCTTTTGGTAATTGTCCTTTAAAAATGTTCAGTGGACCCTAAAATGAAGACAGCTGTTTTCTACTTTATTCCTTTTCAATATGTTTGTGGATTACTATTTCTGTACAGATGCACAGTTCATCTTTCTGCAATATGGGTATATAACTTGTGATATAGCCTCAGAAGCAGACTGGGGGTCATGTACAACAATAATTGTATATTTTCTTTCACTTACTGTTGGTATGTTGAGGGTCATCTAACTGATTACTGACAGATTCTCAACTTGAGCCTCTATTATTTCCCAACATGCTTCTCTTCAGCCTACGCAATTCCTATTATAGCTAGGAATTGAGCCCTGTGAAAGAGTATCTGATATATTTAAGATAAAACCTCATGATTTGTGGTAAAGGTTGAATATAGCCGTAGTGTTGAATCGCATTATGTAACTATGAGTAAATTTGGTGCTGCAATGGGAGATCCGTTGCCACAGAAACGTGCAAAAAATTCCCTGTGGGTTTAGCTGTGATGTGAAGAAACTGTTGGGCAGTACTAACTACAGAACACCTACAATATCCATGCAGAAATGCATTTCCAAACCATACTTCCTTCAGGATAACATCTTAATACAACACATAGCAAAACAAGATGCTTATTCTTCCATTCCCCTTGGATAAAAGAAACAGAGCCGTGAAAACCATCTACTGTATCAGACTAAATGTGAACAGTGCCTTGGCCGTTGTGAGCAGGAGTTTGTTTCTCACA